ACGTGAAACATTTCCCAGTCCGCGTGATCAAAACTGTCCCGCAGCGTAGACTCCGATTGGTCCGACCAGCGGTGCACCGCCCTTAGGGTTGGAGCATCCTGTTTCAGCTTCTGCCTGTAGGCGGGCAGGAGAAGGATGGAGCAGTGATCTGATTGGCCGAATGGGGCGCGGGGGAGGGCTTTGTATGCATCCCGGAAAGGCACGATCTGATATCCTCGTGTTGGTGTTGTTCCCAGATCATCATACTAAATGTTGTTCCAGGATCAACATTGCAAGTGACCAATCAGAATGTTGTGACGTCATACTTTTGCAACTTCGGGAAAAACCGGCGTAAAACAAAAAACTGTACTTAAGCTGCGAGAAACCGCCTCTGTCCGCCGATCAACGGACCCTGACCCTAACCCTAACCGTAACCCTTTAATAAACAGTAAGCAGAATTGATATTGTCCTTGCAACATTGGAATTTCATAAATGCACGAATGGCTTGGCGCGCAAAAGATTAACGTCACAACAATGTGATTGGTCACTTGCAATGTTGAACCTGGAACAACATTTTCATGATGATCTGGGAACAACACCAACATGAGGATATCAGATCATCCTCCTAGAAGGAGGTGTAGCAGTGGTCTCCACGAGGGTTGAAATGGATGTGTTGGTGGAGTTTTGGTGAAACTTTCTTCAGGTTTCCTTTGTTAAAGTCCCCGGTCGTGATAAACGCCGCCTCTGGGTGTGCGGTTTCCTCACTGCTGATCGCGCTGTACAGTTCCCTGAGTGCGCGGTCAGTGTCAGCTTGTGGGGGAATGTAAACAGCCGTAATAATCACTGCTGTAAATTCCCTTGGTAGCCAGAATGGCCGGCACTTAATCATCAGGTACTCCAGGTCCGGTGAGCAGAAGGATTTGACCGGGTGCACATTCGCATAATCACAACAGCTGTTGTTGATCATGAAACACACACCACCGCCTCTGTTTTTCCCAGTAAGATCCTGTGACCTGTCCGCGCGGTGCACAGAGAACAGACTGGAATGAGATCTGTGCCCGAAGCTCGCACAGCTTGTTCTCCAGAGACTGCACATTAAATAAACTGGGTAGTGGTAGTCTATTAGTGCGCCGTCTCAGTCGAATCAGAACGCCAGATCTTCTCCCTGTGCGTCGTGTTACTCGTGTGTTACTCGTGAAAAAATAAAGGAAAAGTAAAATTAAACACAAAAAACAGTTGTTGCTTGGGGCTGCCATACTCGGCGCCATCTTCCGATCATTCAGTATAATAAGAGTCCTAAACTTTTCAAAGACAGGTACAAATATTATGGTGTCACTATTTAAAGGCTGGCTGCTCATCAGTTTTTTTCATTTATTTAACTTTGGTTTGCAGCCATTGGAGGGCTCCAGTCCAGCCCACCAGCCTCTCTCTCTAACTCAAAAGTGTGGAGTTACAGAGCTGTTCTTTCACTCAGGGACTTTCAGCTTCATCTGAACCTCAAACTTCATCTCATGTTTTCTCGTCTGAAGCGCAGATTCTGATTTTAATACAGAAACACAGAAATGTCTGCTAGAACTGCGTCACTCTGCTCCAATTTCCTGTTTTTCAGCATCGTTGTGTTTGTCTCAGCAGGTGAGATATACGGTTAGAAACTGAACAATACATGTTAATATTAATGTGTTTGAAAGTGACATGAGGTTAGAGTCTATGTGGATTTAACATCTGTAATCGAGCTGCTCAAATGTAATGTGTGGATGGGCTTAAACTGTGCTCATGAATAGTTTGTACTTGTAAATCAAATGCAGAGTTTTGTAACCTTGTCAACCAAAATATCTGAAAAAAATTATGTTTGTGCATCTACAAATGAGAATTTTTGTGTTTTAAAAAATATTTACACAAGTTACAAACTTTGTTTTGTTAAGGTCTGGTTACAGATACAAAGCAAAAGACTATGTGTAAAACTCTGCGCTCAAGTTTCATGTTTGTGTGTCAGTTTCAAATTACGAGTATGAATTTCAGCCAATTTTTCTTCCTTTCAGCGGATTGGTCAATGTCCTTTCAATCACAAATGTAACAATCAAATCAGAGAAGAGAGAGCCCACACAATCCACATATGTGTGGATTTTACAATTTAAAAAAAAAAAAGCAGATAAAAAAAACTACTACTGGGATTTTATTTTTATTGTTCTTTGTGTGATTTCAGATCAGTCAGTGTTACTACAGTATGTCAATGAAAAAAAACAACTGCACATTCAGACATGTGAGGTTGGAGCTGAAAAGAACGATACATGTAAGACAAGAAAAAAAATGAATGTAAATGTAAAAAAAAAAGTGTCGTCAAAAATGGCCAATTATATTTTAGACCTCAGAGGGTTAACCCAATAAATCATGAAAAATTACATTTTCACATTTGTTCATGATAGTGCAGATTTCTGATATTTTGTTCAATAAAATATCTCTCATATTATTTATGATAAACATTCAAGAACTGAACCTGTTAAACTTCTTTTTATTAAACTCTTATCATAACAAATGTGTTTCTTATTGTCATACAGTCCAGCCTACCAAACGTCACTATACTGTGATTTCTTTAACAGACTCATTAGAAGTTTGAACTGTACACAAACAGCTGTAGCTCCATAAAGGCAGCATGCAGAGACTCACAGTGTCTTATAATGAGAGGCTGCTTTCTCTCACACATTATGTTCACTTATTATCAGCACATGGTGTTGTTTTGTGTAACCTGCAGGAACTCACTTGCATGCTTCAGTTCACTAGCTGGGACAACATCCTTAGTTAAGATGAATGATGATGGATTAAGAACCGTGAACTGATGCTGCAGTTTGGAGAAGGCCTCAGAGGGGACTGGCAGCGGCTCCCGGGCCGGGCAGTTCCCCATGAAGTAGTGAGAAGTGAAGTAAAAGAAAAAAATAAAGCAGGGGTGCATGGAAATCGGAACAGAGGTTATTAGTGAAGGAGTCATATTTACACACTGACGGCCAGAAGGGGCGTGCATGAGGTTAGGTCCCGCTCCTGAAATGTGATGAATTTACTTAGCTTGAATCTGTTATTTAGCACACCTCCAGTGAAGGATTATTTTTGTTGTCTAAAGGGTAGAGGGTGACTTTTCCTCCACACATGAACAGTAAAATGATTCAGTCAGGGGTTACACTGAGATTCATCAGATGGGGAACCCTGAGATTTGTGTAGTGGATCAGCAAAGGGAAAAAAAAAATCACAATCCACAATAATTTCTACTATGAGCTTCAGTAGGTTTTCTTAGTGTACAAGCTGTGATCAGCTGACCTGTTTTTCTTTATGGATTTACACAACTGAATTCAACCAGATGTAACCAGATGTGTTCTGCATAAAACCACTAAACTGTATTTTCATAGTTAGAATATCTTAGGATGTTTTCCAGGGAAACCCAACATGTGACTGAAATGAGGAGATTACATGTAATGTTCACATTTCCAGTTTATCAAACACCACAGAGCAGTCCTTCCCTTTAAATTTAACCTCTCTTCTTTCTATCCTGTCTTTCTGATCTTTCTCCATCTCTGAGTGAAGTTAGCTCTCTTTCTTTTCCCTCTCAGTGAAATACAGCAGCTGGGCCTTTAGCTGCAACACACTGTGAGGCAAACTGCATACAAAACAAACAAAAACTAGAATTTATTCCAGCCATGTTTTGACATCACCAAAGTCCAGTAACAATGAAAATAGCATCACACTGAACCAATCACATGGCTGGAATAGAGTTATTCTCATCGAGTCACTGTTAGAATCACTGAAACGAAACCCAGGAAGTGGCTACAGGAAGGAGCTGATAGACTGTCTGAAGCAGTTAGAACAAGACAAGACTATCGACCGGACCTCAAACCACAGGCTATACACCAAGTCTGTATGGTTTACCGAAGATACATAAACAAGGTGCACCTTTAAGGCCAATTGTCTGTATGATCAACTCTGTCACCGATAACATCTCCAAGCTTCTGGCTTCGATCCTCAAGCCGCTGGTGGGCAGCTCTGAACACCACATCCTGAAACCACATGCACTTACGCTGTTAAGTGCCAGGATTTATACATCAGGGAAACGAAGCAACCTCTGGCAAAGCAGATAGCACAACGCAGAAGAACTACCTCGTCAGGCCAGGACTCTGCAGTCTATTTACACCTACAGGCCAGTGGACACTCTTTCAATGATGAGGATGTACACATCCTGGACAGGGAGGAACGCTGGTTTGAGCGCGGAGTCAAGGAGGCCGTTTACGTGAAAAGGGAAAGACCATCTCTGAATCGAGGAGGGGGCCTAAAGATACATCTTTTGCCATCTTACAATGCTGTGATTGCAGCCATTCACCAACTCTCTGTGAATGGGACTCATGGCCATTGATCAGTGGGTTTTGGTCAGTGGTTGTTGATCAGTGGTCATGAGAATTTGCATAATTATGATTAAGGAACTGACCTCACAGCCCATTGTTCCTTCAGTGGGCTTCAGTGGGAAACCTGCAGTCAGCTGAGACTAAAGAAGTCACTTGGATGAGTGATGAAATATTTCTCCCACTGAAAATGTTACATCCAGATGAACTTACTTACCTGGATGATTGAGCATGCATCAAGATGAATTTGGTGGTGAAAAATGTTTGTTATGTTAATTGAAGAGCTGTTAAAACTGACTGGTCAATATTGACCAGGAACACTAAACACTAACGGTGGTGGGGGAGAATTATGTGGGCACCAGAAAAAAAATGTTATAGATTATATTTATGTGAAATATGTGTATACTGATTTTGAAACATTTTATCTACATGTAACACCTGCATATGTGTTTTTTTAAGAAAATTTCTATAAATATGCCCTTAAGAAACTTACTGTGTCTTATATTGAGAGGGCTGCTTTCTCTCACACATTATGTTCACATGTTGTTGTTGCTGTGGAAGCTAACATCTTGTAGTTTCTGACACTTTGCATGTTAAGCATGAGGCTAAAATTCTCCCTCATTGAGTCACACAAATCTCAAATGTAAAACGAAATAAACAAAATATTTAAAGTCAATCATTCTGAACATAATTGTACTTTGACCTTTAACCTCTCTGCTCTGTGTTATTTGCTCTTTCAGCCCAGAAAATCATCACAGCTGTGCCTGGACAGGACGTCACTCTGACATGTCGAGGTCCAAATAACGACAACATCAGATCTGCACACTGGAGCAGAGCTGGCCTGGGAGATAAATATGTGCTTTTGTGTCAGGGTGGACAGTTTGTTCCAGATCACCAGCATCCATCTTTTAAGAACCGGGTGGATCTGCAGGACAGACAGATGAAGGATGGAGACGCGTCTTTGATTCTAAGAAATGTGTCGATTGCTGATATTGGAACATACGAGTGTCGTGTTTACGTGACAGAAAGACACTCATGGGAGATCATCAGCAACACCACCCTTACTGTTGTTGTTTGTCCAGGTGAGTGAGTAGAGTTGAGTGTGTGTGATCAGAGGTGAAGCTGCTTCCTGGTTGTTGATGTGTGTTTGTTGTATGGATGAGCTGGTGGATGTCAGAGGTAGACAGATGTTTCTCCAGCTGTTGTCTTTGTGGCTGGTAGTCTAGAGTTGTAGAGCAGCATTGTTTGGGTAAGGTTAGAGCAGAAACAAAGACATTTATGAATCAGTCTTTTCTTCCCTTGCTCTCTAACTCGTCTGTACACATGTGGGGAAACTCAATGTTAAAGCCTACAGCTGGAGGGGGAGGGGAAGGGTGAAGCTGGTGGTTGTGAGTCTGTGAAAGTGAATCCTGCTGGTGCCCTGAGATCTGTGTAATGTCTCAGCACAGGGAAAAGAATCACAACTCACAATAATTTATAATATGAGCTTCAGTGCATTTTCCTAGATTACTGACCTGCTGCTCTTTGTTGAATTGGTCAACTGAATTTAAGTTGTTAGTTGTAGCCAGATGTGCAACTGCACAACTGTCAGAGGCAGATGAAACAATGGTCTCATTTGATGTTACATCTCTCTTCACTTGCATCCCAGTTACTGCATTCAAGGTAGTTCGTAAGAAATTACAGGATGACCCCAACCCTAGCAACAGGACCACTCTCAGCACCAACCAAATGTGTTTGCTTTTGGAACTGTGTCCACCTATTTTACAGTACTACAAGCAGAAACATTGGTGTTGTTACATCTGCGCTCACGGGCCTTGCTGGTTCGGAGACTTATCACCGTTAACAAAGAACCACAAAGAGAGATCAATTGGTTTTTCACTTGCAAGGGAAGACCGCTGGACCAGGGTCCTGGAGGCTCCTCACCCGATGAGCAAATGGTAAATGGCCTGTATTTGTAAAGCGCTTTACTTAGTCCTTAACGACCCGAAATTGGTTTACACTACATTAATTAACCCATTCACACAATGGTGATGGCAGCTACATTGTAGCCACAGCTGCCCTGGGGCGCACTGACAGAGGCGAGGCTG